GGCACTGTGCAGGGCAGAGACAAGAAGGTGACTGCGCCATCCCATCCAAACTAGCTAAAAGGAGCCCCAAGTTCAAAGAGAGATCCCATATCAGGGCAATAAATGGGGGGTGATAGAGCAGGGCATCCGATCTGGCCTGCACTAGGTGGGCGCATGGGCATGCACGTGCGTGCGCAAGCACACACACACACACACACACACACACACACACACACACACACGAACGAACAAGAGAGAGAGAGAGAGAGAGAGAGAGAGAGAGAGAGAGAGAGAGAGATTTTTTTAAATGATGTATTTTCTTGCTCTGCCCACTTTCTCTTAGTTCTTAATGGTAATAAAACATGGGGGCACAGACACAAGCAGCCAAATGATTAACAATCTGCCCATCATGTTATTCAGGGCGCAAAAGGGAAAGCTGCAGTGAGGGGTTAATAGGATTGTTGCTGCTTTAACATGCTGACTAATGTGGCCCAGGTAGCACTAGCTTTTTCAATACTATGGCATACCCTGGGCTCAGCAGAGACGGTGGGTAACCAAAGGCATCAGCTTTCAGATGTGAATGGTGGCCATTAGCAATATGCCATCTTGTATTAGTACAGCCCAGAAATGCTTATTTATGACAATTAGAATTTATTTTCTTTTTTTGTGTATTCTGTCTACTTTAGAAGTTAAAGAGTTCGAGGTTGTCCTCGAACATAGGGAGTTTGAGGCCAGCCTGGGAATGAAACTGTATCAAGGGGTCGGGGAGGAAAGGAAGTTCAGTGCTTTGAAGTCAGATGAGCTTATGGCCCAGTTATTCAAAATAATGTAGATACATTAAAACTTAATTGTAAAGAACGTGCAAACAAAAGGAAAACACAAACCCAAATTAACAAGACCCAAAGTCTATCTATATCTCAGCAAACTTCTATACAGTTAGGATATAAATATTTTCTTGAATAACTTTTTTGTAAAACCAATTGCCTTGACAATTGCCCTTAATTTAATCATTTGCTATTCATCACTCAACAAATATGTGCCTCCCAGGTACCAGGGCGCCATGCTGCACATCCAGCCTTTGGGGTCTTCATGAGATCCACTGGTGAATTTGATTCATAAACTATGCTTGAGAATACACCCTTAAGTACATCTTGTCTATCTGAATGGATAGACAGAAATTTACTAATGAAAATAAAATGACTGTTGCTCCTGCTGCAAATAGAATCACGTGACCTAGATCCTACACTCCATACATAGCTTCACAATGAGCAACCTTTTTTTCCTACAGTGCTGGAGACCGAGCCCAGAGTCTTGCACATGCTCTGTTCCATGCTTTACTGCTGAGCTGTATCCATGGCCCACAACGGCACCACTTTTTATGAATGCCTCACTCTGCTCAGGTATAGTGTACATAAGCTGTTGTCCCAGATGCTTGTGAAGCAGAGGCAGGGGGATCACTTGAACTCTCGAAATCAAGGCCATCTGAGACAGCCTACAGAGGTTCTACACTAAAGACACAACTACTTCACACCAAGCAGACAACAGAGCTCAGGGCCCAGTCAGTACTGCTGTGGGATTATTCTGTATGTCCTGTGGGAGCCCATTCTTGGGTTCCTCGTGGCTTTACCCAGCAGGTCCTCATAGAGGATGATTAGGACCACGGGCCTGAGTGCAGGTGTCTGAGATGGTCTGCACTTGGCTGTGCTGTGGGATGGTCTGTATGGCAAATGTGTTGCTCTGATTGGTCAATAAATAAAACCTGATTGGCCTGCTTGGGTGACATGATGACACCCTGTCTCAAGGCAGGACTAACAGAGAGGAGAAATAAAAGAACAGGAAGGCAGGAGTCACTGCCTGGAGCTGCCGCCAGGACAAAGAAGATGTAAAGTACCAGTAAGCCACGAGCTGCATGGCAAGGTATAGGTTTGTGGGAATGGATTAATTTAAGATATTAAGAACAGTTAGCAAGAAGCCTGCCATGGCCATACAGTTTGTAAACAAAATAAGTCTCTGTGTTTACTTGGTTGGGTCTGAGCGGCTGTGGGACTGGCGGGTGA